ATCGACACAGTCGCCCTACTACCTGTTATACCGACACAGTCGTCCTACTACCTGTTATACCGACACAGTCGCCCTACTACCTGTTATACCGACACAGTCGCCCTACTACCTGTTATACCGACACAGTCGCCCTACTACCTGTTATACCGACACAGTCGTCCTACTATCCGTTACTTATTTTATTAACTCTGTCATCCAGTCATTTATTGTGTGTTATCTCTGTAATAGTAGTTCAAGCGGAATAACTCTTGGTTCCTCGATGTGAAAAAAGGTCTCTCATAATCTTCCAGTTCGATTTTCTTTTACTTAAGCAGAAAGTAGTTGTACATTGAAATATATGTGTATGTTCATCCTCATTTTTGCCATATCAATATGATTGGGTTTTTTTTTCACTTTTTATTGACATTGTAAATAATTGATTCTTTACATTCAATAGAGTTATAATATTGTAAATAAATTATTCTTTATATGGAATAGAATTATAATATTGTAAATAAATTATTCTTTACATTAAACAGAATTATAATATTGTAAATAAATTATTCTTTATATGGAATAGAGTTATAATATTGTAAATAATTGATTCTTTAAATGGAATAGAGTTATAATATCAAAATCAACGTTTTCTTCACTTGATCAACATTTTCAACTGGTGATTTTTTTTACATCTTTGCTTAATATGTAATCAAAGTTTGTGCGCTCATTTACTCTTCAGAAAACCTAGACTCCTGTGATGAATATATGTAAGAATAGGTAAAATTATCGAGGTATAAGACTTAGAGACTGAGTGGTTTACCACTCTGAAATGTCTACGATTACCGTTCCACTCTAGTGAAATATAAAGCACCAGTGTACTACGCATGTGTCTTAATGTGCATGGCGATTTTTTTTTTGCATTATTCTCATTTAAATTGTGTCTTAAAACGTTCCGGAGATACATTGGTCTTCGTTTCAAATAGTAGTCAATTCCCTGTGCGGAAGTTAAAGTGCATTGTGGGATTGTATACAGAAATGGCGGCTGCTTTAAAGCCAAGAAATGGAATGAATGAAAACAAGTTGCAGGAAGCATTGTAAATATGTCTTATGCAAAACGCTGCTCACATACTTATATATATAGGTATTGCATATATCATAACGTTAAAAAGTCTCGCTTCGGAATCAACTTTCCACGTAGTAGGGACAATACCTCGGGGTTTTGACCTGACGTTTGTTACCAAAACAAGTTTGCACATGTGTGATATGTTTATTGGCAAGCGTAACAGGTGGTTTTCTCTTTAACACTGTATTGGTATTTTGGGTAGAAGACTTGGATTATCATCCAGACAGTGTTTGTGTCACACGAAAGGGATCAATATTTAATAAGTGCCTCCAGTAGTTGGAATTACGTGGTTGAGTATCTTGGTGGAAAAGTGAACCGGATTAGGATTAAACAGTTAGTATATATATATTTACTTCATATACCACACTCCATGAAATGAAAAATTACAAAATTAAATTATTTTATTTGTATGTATATATTTCATATAAGATTATATATATATACATCTCGCTTTGCATTATTACCAACATTGATATGTGGAAATTTATTTAGGCCTCACAGTAGTGACAGTCATATTTCAAAATTTCTACCTATATAATGAGAGAAGTCATTGGCTTGTTATAGGTTTCCATTAATTGTATTAACATTCATTATAGCTATACAATCGGGGCCCATTAATGTTAAAGTCACCCTCAAGCTTATATATAACTTGTTTGACACTCGATCAAGTCACAGTGAAGCTGACCCAAATATACATGATGGTACCTACACATGTCACATGTACAAAACCATGGATTTGTCACTACATGATCACTTGTAATTTAATGTTAATGTTAAGATGATTCTATTTTTATATTGTATTGATTGGAATTATTTATATGGTAAATATTGAACATTTGTTGAATTAATTCTTTGAAAATTAGAAGTTGTAACTTAAGGTTGTCATTTAAATAAATTTTCCCGTCACATCTTTTCTGTTACAATGGTAGATGCATGATCTGCAAAGTTATTTATAAACACACAAATATATAATTTAGAAATCAATCTCTATAGGTATATACAGTGTAGGTCTTAAAATCCATAAATACTAAACACAAAGATAACACAATGTTCCTCTTACTAAACACCAATTTTCTCTCAGAGCTGTACTTACCTGTATTCTTAATTGATGGTTTCTTTGGTGGAATGCTTTGGGTGATGAAACTGTACTATCTTAACTATTTTATTGGAGAGAGAATTTCAAGATTACAATTTGTATCTGTCCCTCTTAACTTTTCTAGTTACAATTTGTATCTGTCCCTCTTAATGTTCCTAGTTACAATTTGTATCTGTCCCTCTTAATGTTCCTAGTTACAATTTGTATCTGTCCCTCTTAATGTTCCTAGTTACAATTTGTATCTGTCCCTCTTAACTTTTCTAGTTACAATTTGTATCTGTCCCTCTTAACTTTTCTAGTTACAATTTGTATCTGTCCCTCTTAACGTTCCAAGTTACAATTTGTATCTGTCCCTCTTAATGTTCCTAGTTACAATTTGTATCTGTCCATCTTAATGTTCCTAGTTACAATTTGTATCTGTCCCTCTAAACATTCCTAGTTACAATTTGTATCTGTCCCTCTTAATGTTCCTAGTTACAATTTGTATCTGTCCCTCTTAATGTTCCTAGTTACAACTTGTATCTGTCCATCTTAACGTTCCTAGTTACAATTTGTATCTGTCCCTCTTAATGTTCCTAGTTACAATTTGTATCTGTCCCTCTTAACGTTCCAAGTTACAATTTGTATCTGTCCCTCTTAATGTTCCTAGTTACAATTTGTATCTGTCCATCTTAATGTTCCTAGTTACAATTTGTATCTGTCCCTCTAAACATTCCTAGTTACAATTTGTATCTGTCCCTCTTAATGTTCCTAGTTACAATTTGTATCTGTCCCTCTTAATGTTCCTAGTTACAATTTGTATATGTCCATCTTAACGTTCCTAGTTACAATTTGTATCTGTCCCTCTAAACATTCCTAGTTACAATTTGTATCTGTCCCTCTTAATGTTCCTAGTTACAATTTGTATCTGTCCCTCTTAATGTTCCTACTTACAATTTGTATCTGTCCATCTTAACGTTCCTAGTTACAATTTGTATCTGTCCCTCTTAATGTTCCTAGTTACAATTTGTATCTGTCCCTCTTAACTTTTCTAGTTACAATTTGTATCTGTTAACATTTGTATCCTAAGTTACAATTTGTTACAATTTGTATCTGTCCATCTTAATGTTCCTAGTTACAATTTGTATCTGTCCCTCTTAATGTTCCTAGTTACAATTTGTATCTGTCCCTCTTAATGTTCCTAGTTACAATTTGTATCTGTCCCCCTCTTAATGTTCCTAGTTACAATTTGTATCTGTCCCTCTTAATGTTCCTAGTTACAATTTGTATCTGTCCCTCTTAATGTTCCTACTTACAATTTGTATCTGTCCATCTTAACGTTCCTAGTTACAATTTGTATCTGTCCCTCTAAACATTCCTAGTTACAATTTGTATCTGTCCCTCTTAATGTTCCTAGTTACAATTTGTATCTGTCCCTCTTAATGTTCCTAGTTACAATTTGTATCTGTCCATCTTAAAGTTCCTAGTTACAATTTGTATCTGTCCCTCTAAACATTCCTAGTTACATTTGTATCTGTCCCTCTTAATGTTCCTAGTTACAATTTGTATCTGTCCCTCTTAATGTTCCTAGTTACAATTTGTATCTGTCCCTCTTAACGTTCCTAGTTACAATTTGTATCTGTCCCTCTTAATGTTCCTAGTTACAATTTGTATCTGTCCCTCTTAATGTTCCTAGTTACAATTTGTATCTGTCCATCTTAACGTTCCTAGTTACAATTTGTATCTGTCCCTCTTAATGTTCCTAGTTACAATTTGTATCTGTCCCTCTTAATGTTCCTAGTTACAATTTGTATCTGTCCCTCTTAACGTTCCTAGTTACAATTTGTATCTGTCCCTCTAAACATTCCTAGATACAATTTGTATCTGTCCCTCTTAATGTTCCTAGTTACAATTTGTATCTGTCCCTCTTAACGTTCCTAGTTACAATTTGTATCTGTCCATCTTAACGTTCCTAGTTACAATTTGTATCTGTCCAATTTGTATCTGTCCATCTTAACGTTCCTAGTTACAATTTGTATCTGTCTAGTTACAATTTGTATCTGTCCCTCTTAATGTTCCTAGTTACAATTTGTATCTGTCCATCTTAATGTTCCTAGTTACAATTTGTATCTGTCCATCTTAACGTTCCTAGTTACAATTTGTATCTGTCCCTCTTAATGTTCCTAGTTACAATTTGTATCTGTCCATCTTAACGTTCCTAGTTACAATTTGTATCTGTCCCTCTAAACATTCCTAGATACAATTTGTATCTGTCCCTCTTAATGTTCCTAGTTACAATTTGTATCTGTCCCTCTTAATGTTCCTAGTTACAATTTGTATCTGTCCCTCTTAATGTTCCTAGTTAACAATTTGTATCTGTCCATCTTAACGTTCCTAGTTACAATTTGTATCTGTCCCTCTTAACGTTCCAAGTTACAATTTGTATCTGTCCCTCTTAATGTTCCTAGTTACAATTTGTATCTGTCCATCTTAATGTTCCTAGTTACAATTTGTATCTGTCTCTCTAAACATTCCTAGTTACAATTTGTATCTGTCCCTCTTAATGTTCCTAGTTACAATTTGTATCTGTCCATCTTAACGTTCCTAGTTCAAATAAATTTAGATAACTCAATAACAGTTTAATGAATGCATGTTTTTATTATCATTATTATTTATTAGAACACTAAACCAATATTTAAACAAGATTTTCAACAATGATGGCAATTGAGCCCATTGGTAGAATGTTGTGTGTGGTGTAACACTATTGGTTTGTTTTCTGTAGACTGTTCAGTGTAGTGATGTGAAGATGGCCACCCCTTTGACAGGATGAGTACAAACCTAAGTCTGATGAATCCTGGGACCTCCCTTAACTTTGATGGACAGGTGCTGCAGAATGCCCAGGAGGAGGAATACAGAAAAGAGGAAGAACAGCAACACAATGAGGTCAGTTAGTACATTGGGGTCATTAAGTTCATATGTCAAAATGTCAGTACACTATATACTGTATCTAGTACTCTTGTTGTTAATCCATGTTATTAAGCAATTTTATGAATGACCATTTTTACTCTGAAGCATGGAGTGAAGACATTTTTTTCGGTTGAAAAACTCACACTGGTATAAAAATGTAGTAGTCTTGTAATCAATTGGAGGATTAAAATGGACACAAATATATATAAGCAGGATTCTAAAACAAGGGCTTTTTAACTCATTTTTATAGGATGATTTTCATGGTCTGATATATTCATAAAATTTTGAGACTAGCCCACAGGTGGTGACAGACTTTCCTTGATGACACTAGCCCACAAGTGGTGACAGACTTTCCTTGATGACACTAGCCCACAGGTGTTGACACTAGCCCACAGGTGGTGACACTAGCCCACAGGTGGTGACAGACTTTCCTTGATGACACTAGCCCACAAGTGGTGACAGACTTTCCTTGATGACACTAGCCCACAGGTGTTGACACTAGCCCACAGGTGGTGACACTAGCCCACAGGTGGTGACAGACTTTCCTTGATAACACTAGCCCACAGGTGGTGAGTCTTTCCTTGATGACACTAGCCCACAGGTGGTGAGTCTTTCCTTGATGACACTAGCCCACAGGTGGTGACACTAGCCCACATGTGGTGACAGACTTTCCTTGATGACACTAGCCCACAGGTGGTGACAGACTTTCCTTGGTGACACTAGCCCACAAGTGGTGACAGACTTTCCTTGATGACACTAGCCCACAGGTGTTGACACTAGCCCACAGGTGGTGACACTAGCCCACAGGTGGTGACAGACTTTCCTTGATGACACTAGCCCACAAGTGGTGACAGACCTTCCTTGATGACACTAGCCCACAGGTGTTGACACTAGCCCACATGTGGTGACACTAGCCCACAGGTGGTGACAGACTTTCCTTGATAACACTAGCCCACAGGTGGTGAGTCTTTCCTTGATGACACTAGCCCACAGGTGGTGAGTCTTTCCTTGATGACACTAGCCCACAGGTGGTGACACTAGCCCACATGTGGTGACAGACTTTCCTTGATGACACTAGCCCACAGGTGGTGACAGACTTTCCTTGGTGACACTAGCCCACAGGTGGTGACAGTCGTTCCTTGATGACACTAGCCCACAGGTGGTGACAGTCGTTCCTTGATGACACTAGCCCACAGGTGGTGACAGTCGTTCCTTGATGACACTAGCCCACAGGTGTGACACTAGCCCACATGTGGTGACAGACTTTCCTTGATGACACTAGCCCACAGGTGGTGACAGACTTTCCTTGGTGACACTAGCCCACAGGTGGTGACAGTCGTTCCTTGATGACACTAGCCCACAGGTGGTGACAGTCGTTCCTTGATGACACTAGCCCACAGGTGGTGACAGTCGTTCCTTGATGACACTAGCCCACAGGTGGTGACAGTCGTTCCTTGATGACACTAGCCCACAGGTGTGACACTAGCCCACATGTGGTGACAGACTTTCCTTGATGACACTAGCCCACAGGTGGTGACAGACTTTCCTTGGTGACACTAGCCCACAGGTGGTGACAGACTTTCCTTGGTGACACTAGCCCACAGGTGGTGACAGTCGTTCCTTGATGACACTAGCCCACAGGTGGTGACAGTCGTTCCTTGATGACACTAGCCCACAGGTGGTGACAGTCGTTCCTTGATGACACTAGCCCACAGGTGTGACACTAGCCCACAGGTGGTGACACTAGCCCACAGGTGGTGAAAGTCTTTCCTTGATGACACTAGCCCACGGGTGGTGACAGACTTTCCTTGTTGACACTAGCCCACAGGTGGTGACAGACTTTCCTTGGTGACACTAGCCCACAGGTGGTGACAGTCGTTCCTTGGTGACACTAGCCCACAGGTGGTGACAGTCGTTCCTTGATGACACTAGCCCACAGGTGGTGACAGTCGTTCCTTGATGACACTAGCCCACAGGTGGTGACAGTCGTTCCTTGATGACACTAGCCCACAGGTGGTGACAGTCGTTCCTTGATGACACTAGCCCACAGGTGGTGACAGACTTTCCTTGATGACACTAGCCCACAGGTGGTGACAGTCGTTCCTTGATGACACTAGCCCACAGGTGGTGACACTAGCCCACAGGTGGTGACAGACTTTCCTTGATGACACTAGCCCATAGGTGGTGACAGTCGTTCCTTGATGACACTAGCCCACAGGTGGTGACACTAGCCCACAATTGGTGACAGACTTTCCTTGATGACACTAGCCCATAGGTGGTGACAGTCGTTCCTTGATGACACTAGCCCACAGGTGGTGACAGGCTTTCCTGTTGAGGCAGGTGATCAGCATCAACATTGGATCAATGAAGTAAAGTGACCTTTACATATCATTAGAATGTGAAGTGGAAAGTTGTAAGATGATAGTGGTGTATTCCTATCCACCTTTCTCCTTTAGTTTGTTGATAATGTCAGAATGTCGATAAATATGATAACAGCTATAGTAGGTGATGCTCTCAATCCAGGGATCAACATCAATGATAATAACAGCTATAGTAGGTGATGTTCTCAATCCAGGGATCAATACAATGATAATAACAGCTATAGTAGGTGATGTTCTCAATCCAGGGATCAACATCAATGATAATAACACAAATAAGTAGAATTATATCACACAGCATTTTCTCCTATATTTACTGTAAAATTCTATACAGGTACAGAAATCCAAGTCTCCATTTCTGAGAAACGCGCTGAAAATTTTGGATAAGTCTTCCGTCAATTGTCAAAGCCTCTTCATGGTGTCTGTTGTTGTTTCGATCTACTTTTGTGTTCAAATGCCGTTTAGAGACAGACATGATGAATTTTTTGTGTGTACATGAGGAATCAATGTAAAGAACAATTTATCTTGACGTGAATCTTCCGACAACTTGGCTGAAAAGTGAGTGGAAAGTCTAATTCATCAATGGTTGAAAGAAGCATTTTGATTGGCTAAGAATATGTGAGGGACTGTTTTCGAAAACTGTGCACATCTTGGTTTTTTGTTGAATTTCATTGATATTGTGATAATTTCATTACTTTTAGGTTCAAATTAATTTAGAGTAGAGGTATTCTGCTTGTGTTAAGTCAAATATCCCCTAAATATATCCTCTGACACTACACACCATTCCAGTCAACAGGGTCGAATTAAAGCTCATTTCACTTTAAGACCTAATGTAAATTGATCTTAGACTGTTATTAAGTCCAGGAAGCTCAAACACATCACATCACTACTATATGCCCTGTTTGAATCTCGAGCTCTTTTTTGTCATCATGCACGTGATATGATGTAGCTGTGTTTGGAGGAAGGCTTTCTTTGTTTCCATGGTGACATAGTGTCCTTCACATTATAATACCAAAGAATCAAGGTGTATAAGCCTAATAAAGTGCTACTTTTATCACTGTTTGTAAAAGTTGTGTGACAAACAGAGGCTCCTTAAAATGAACTTCTGAGTCCATCATTTATACTGTAACTAAAGTCCCGTACCCTTAACACAGTAATAGAAATCCTCCTGGCCCCCATTCACCATAATTTGACTCCAATACAATACGTCCTGTACATTTACCATGTTTACTATCCATTGTTTACCTATGATTTTCCAATGAAGAACACAGTATTGTTTACATTATAAAGTTGATCTATGATCAGTTGGCAGCGTGACAGTGTTTGTTGGCAGACCATTAGTAAAGGACCTTCAAATATTTATAACATGTTATACACTTTATAATGTTGGTTGTAGGGGACATTATAAACAGTACAGGTATTGGATTAACAAAGGATGTTTTTTATTCTTTTACCATTCCGGCTATATCAGGAAAATTCAAGATCTGGTTTCTGAATCTGTAGCATAATTAGAGATGGTCATATGCTGGAGGTGATGAATTAAATCCAAGAGAAACAATAAAACCATAATTGTGAGAAATATTTTTTTAGACAAACATTTCACTGACCAAGACACATGTAATGTTGCATAACTTGGCCCCTCACAGGAACGTTTTCATTATGAACACATCAACACCACTGTACCGTGTCTGTATTAAAATAAAGTCTTCAAAGTATCTATTTTCCAAGTTATAAGCCACGCCTTTTTTCTCAACGGTTGGATGTGCTACTTAAAATACTGGTGTGGCTGATATGTGGTCGAAAAAGCTTGAAGTCTGTCATCTGGTCATCTGTTCTGAACTGTTATATAGTTCAGAATGGCCATTTCTGTCGAGGCATATCACATGCACTATTGACCTGCATGATCTAGCACCCTGATAATTTTGGCTGCAGTAACTTGTCACACTTCCAGAAAAAAGAAAAAATAGAGATTTAAACCAAGCATACCTGTTCACCGGTATGAGACGTCGGTACCAAGTTTAATATGAATCTTTTAATATGAATCCCAAAAATATCTTTTGAACTTTGGTGGTGGTGTCGAAAGTCACAGGTAAAGTTTACAATAGCTTGTTGCATTCTGGGATAGATATGTCATCAGGCCATATTCTAGATTGACCGCCATATCATGCTTGTTTACAATGATAATGGCTTTATGTAACTTATAAGGAATGATATAAGGCTATAAGAATTTCGGCCTTCACTAACATAAAACAGTACAAACACTGATGGAGATGGTGTTAAGTAAACCGTATGTAACATCAGGCCCTATTTCTGTGTGTAGACAATCTTTGAAGGCTCCCAAACCAAACAAGTACGATAATTACTATTTTATGTTTTTGAAACATGTCAATAGAATAAAGGATTTTCTGTGTATAATAAATTTGCAAACTTATATTAAATTTTTCACTGACAATCTTGATAAATTGCCTTCCGTTATCTCTTATATCAGTGAATTTTGGTCAACATAAAGGTTACCGCATCGTAAGAAAGGGTGCGCTTTATATTCCAGTGGCTAATATGTAGATCAAATAAAAAATTTGTTAAAACTTGGCTCTGCTG